CCCCGCAGTTTTTGTCGCTACCGGCACCGGTTTTTTCGGCAAATGCTTTTAGCTAAACAAATTAAGTCTGGCCGCTAGACTGGCAGGAAACACCCCCTTAAAATTTCATCTTTCTAGCTTTTCGGTCTCCTAAGTTAGCAACTTACCCGAAAAAAATTTGGGCCCGACGCGGTTACCACATTTACCCGGGGGATGGGTTTGAGCTCATTAACTCCAACTTGGACGGGGAACATCCTCTTAAAATTTCAACTTTCTAGCTTCTCAGACCCCCGAGTTATGAGCTTACCCGAAGAAACTTTGGCGGGCGCTTACGTGGGTACCACGCGGGTAATGGCGCCCATTTTGGGGATTGGGGCCTGTACGTTCATATAGATTAAGTCCGCAAAGTTTTAGCTCTGTAGCTTTTATAGGTCTTGAGATGAAAATGCGTGAGAAACGCACATACAGACACACGAACACACAGGCAGCCCCTCGTTAATATACGTTTTTGCACTGCATAGCTGCAAAAAACGCATAAAAACCCGTTTAAAATAATGTGTTGTTGAAGATAAGCCCCAGTTTGCCAGAAAAAAGAGGTGTAGAAACCGTTTTTACGTATTTCGCACGCGTTAAGAGTAATTGGCGAATGACGTCCTGTACGGAGATTTCGCTGTGACCGAAATTACCAAAATTTTATAGCAGATACCTTTTGCGGCACAAGCTGTCCACTACACAACATGCAGATGTAGGCTACAAGCGGTCGATGTACCATTCAGGAGAAACTGTTTAATTATCAGTGAAAATGGGAGCTGTAAAATTTGCTGGATAATCTCTTTAAATTCTTTTTTTGTATTTTTTCAAGCCATAATTTTATGATTTTTAAAATTATCAAAAATAATAGTGATTTTTTTCAGTTCTCAAATCATAATTTTTTTGTGCGATTTTTAATTTCTTTTTCAAAGAATCTATGTGATTTTTATTTTCAGTAAGAATGGTGCGGACTTTTCTCCTTGCATCGTCGTCGAAGCGAACGCAGAAAAGGCCTGTTCAATTAGGCGTAATTGTTAGAGCGGGCGAATTCGAATATCAGAATCCGGCATCGGAGAGTGATGTTGTCAACGTCAATTTTGTCTTGCGTGATGGATCTGTTAAGAGGGTCAGGGGTAAAGTCGGTGATAATGTTATGTATCTCGCGCACAGGTACTTCTTTGATACAATCAGTGATAACTATCTGCAAAATTTGTTGGAAAAATAGGATTAAAATTGCTGATGAGTTTTATAACGTTTTGCGAGATACCGCTAATCGTTGCTTCTATCAGGCGACTTTGACGTAAAATGGTTCCTTCTGTTTTCCCTTCATGTATTTTGTTTCTTTGACAAAAATGTTCTTTTTTTTAGGTATAAAATTGATATCGAAGGAGCGTGCGAGGCGTCCTGTGCTTGTTCAACTTGTCACGTTTACGTTGATGATGAGTTTTATGATAAATTGCCGGAGGCGAAGGACGAAGAGGACGATATGTTGGATATGGCG